AGGAGATATCCAAGAACATAACGAGTTGGTCGAGAGAGTTTTGCAGAGGCTTGATGCGGAAGGATGGGCCCGCAAACTGAATAAGTGCAAATTCTCTGTTAACCAACTAACTTGGCTAGGGTATGACATTAATGAGAATGGGTAGTCCCCAAAACTTTCAAAGATTGAGGCAATTCAATCGCTCAAACCACCGCGAACTCTAAAACAACTTCGGTCATTCATGGGAACGTTAAAACATTTACAAAGGTTTATCCCTGATTTACATACCCATACTGTCCATTTCCGGGCCTCATTCAAGGCTTGTAATAAACAATCGTTCTTCTGGGGTGATGATCAAAGTAAAGCCTTTCACGATATAATCAAGTTGAGTGCGAAAATTCCGAGCCTGTATCACTTCGATTTATCGAAAGGATCGAGAGTAAAATGCGACGCGAGTCACAATGGCTTAGGTGCTTGCCTCGAACAGGAAGTTGAACCGGGAATTTGAGCCCCTACTGCGTTTACTTTGCGTTTCCTCAATAACGCGGAGGTTAAATATAGCACTAACGAACTGGAGTTATTGGCTATTGTCTGGGCTTGTGAACATTTCCGTACTTATGTGTTAGGTACGCGCTTTCAAGTGTTAACTGATCTTAAGGCTATCATATCGGCATTAAGCGAAAATTATAACAATAAGTCTTATCAGTCTCGTCTTGCTCGCTGGGCTGATCGTTTGCTACCTTTTGACTTTGAGGTTATTCACGTCCCAGGGGTCACGCTGGGGATTGTCCATTACTTATCACGTTATCCTACATTTCCAGCTCCTGCACCCTCTAAATACGACGAACTTTTTGTTGTTGAGTCAATTGAGGCATTCCATTTGGCCCTCTCGTTTATTAATTGTTATAATTCTTCTCCGGGGTATCAAAATTGTGAAACGCCGCAAGAGGGCGTTCAATTTGTGTCTCAGTTTAATAACGCTTGTTATTTACGTCATTCGCCGGATGAGGGTGTTATTAATGTCCCTCAATGTTTCAACCAATCATCTTGCGGTATGCAAATGGATTGCTCGCGTTGTTTGTCACAAGATGGCGTCGATTTATGCGCTCAAGATTTCAACCAATCAGGGACCGGTTTGCTAATGATTGTTGCAAACCAGATGACGTTTCAGAAAATCACTGTCTCCGACTTGAGTCTTTAGTAAACAGTCCACTTATTCAAATCAATTTCTTTAATAATAAATTCAATATGACAACACCAACAATCAATAACCAAACTCATACTGACTTAAACACTAACATCACGCAACCGGACTCTATGACCATACTACAATCAACTGCTGAGCAGGCAGGGTTACAGACATTTGTGGAAACTTCTCCAGTCAGCTCTCCCAACTTTTGTCGCCCAAGTCCGAGGCCGCACATACGATCCCGCCAACTCACCCGCTTGTCCGGATTGGACCAAATTCGACAACGTAATGGAACACGGGAACGGGCCGCTAAAACCCGTTTTGTCGCTACAAGAACTGATACTAGAAAGGACGGACATTCGAAACTACTAGAGGCAATGAGGCGATGTCGCCTGTCAAAATCAGGAAAAAACAACATGGCGGCGAAGATCGGGGTCTTAGCGGTGAATGGGGGTAAACATCTCCTCTCCTCATCCAAAAAGGAAATTGTGGGCTTGCCTGGACTTTTTGATGCAGACATGTTGGCAGAATTAACAACGGAGGATTGCTTTCTCGGCCCCATGAAGCGAGCCATCATAAATAAGGACATTACCTCCTTCAACAAGCTTGGTGCATATATGGCCCAGTTTTGGCCTACAGCAGCGGTGGTAAATAACTGTGTAGTTATTGACAATAAACTGGCCATTCCTGAATCTCTCCGACAAGCTGTGCTCACTCGCCTTCACAGATCACACCCGGGACAAGAGGCCATGATGACTGCCTCCGAATACCTCTGGTGGCCATTTATGATACGGCAAATCATCGAGACGTGTGAGAAGTGTCGTGAATGTACCCTGTTCGGTAAGAATCTTAAGCCTGCGTCAACTTTTAATACTGCGAAATCTCTGCCTGTACTATCTGGACCTAATCAGGAGTTACAATTAGATTTTGCTGGTCCGATACTTGATGAAAAGGGGTCTAAGATCTTTCTTTTAGTAGCGATTGATCGGTTCTCTAAAATTCCTTCAGTCCTAATTTCTAAAACCACTGGGGCTAAGAAGGTTACTAAATTCCTTGATTCCTATATTCGTATTCACGGTCTCCCTCGTTCTATCAGAACAGATCATGGCTCAGGTTTTAAGAATAATTTGGTGCAAGAATTCGGCTCTAATAGAGGTATTAAACATATCCTCTCACCGGTCGGAGATCATCGCGGCAGTGGGCTCGAACGATCTATTCAGACAATCAAGAGAAAACTGGGTGTGGCGAAACGCGATCCTAATTTCAGAAATCTTAAGGATACGATTCATCAAATACTTGAAGATATTCGCAAGAGTAATCATTCGGTGCTTAAGAAATCGCCTTTTGAATTGCATTTTGGTCGTAAACCTAATACTGTATGGTCTCAGGCACGTAATATTGTTGTTCAATCTGATACTTCAGCCCAAATATTGGAGCGCAACCTCCTTACACCAGATCAGATCGCCAGCAACGATTACAGCCGGGACAGCACAAAAGTTGTTCCTCGCGGCAGTTCCAGCCCAACTATTCCAACTCGCTGCAAGCCCTTGTTTTCGTTGGACGGAAATGTGGCAGACAGTGAACCCTACAAGGCGCTGGCGGATCTTGCTCGGGTGGCAAATAAATGGTCGCATTTCAGGCGGAATCTTCCCCCAGATGCAGGAAAATTGGTACTCAAGGAGCTCACAACCAGGCATTTGGACCTCGCCCATTCTCTCAAATCCGGCCTCAATAGCAATACTCTTCGTTTCTCAGTAATTGCCTCACCTCCGGGGACGCAAGTCAGCTCCAGGCGTGCACCAGTTGTGCAACCTACTCGTCTCTCGAGAACAAGTAAATTAGAAAACCTTCTACTGTCTGATCCTGGTCGAGTTAAAGTCTTTAGGAAAATTATTGATCGCCAATCGGGGAAACCTCTGTATAAGCTAACCAAGTTTAAGATTGTTCGTGTTACGGATCATACTTATATTACCGACAAGGGAAAAGTCTACAGGAAAAATCATATCTGTCTCAAACCTATTTATCGATCTGCCATTTTAGTTGCTCAGAACAGTATAGGTGATCGCGTCCAAGCTTCAAGCTCAACTTCTCGAGGAGCGGCTAAACGACCTGTCACGCGGTCGCAGTCTGTGTTACTGGAACAACGGCCAAACAATCCCTCTCTCTCTACTCCGATGGTGGATCTCACTGCTGACTCTTCCAGTGAAAGTTCTATTGGGTCAAATAACGATCGTCAGGTGGCTCGAGATTCGGTTACTACCGGAAAACGGCAGAGGCTTCAGTGTGACTCGCCTCCGGTTCGATTTGCTCGTCAGTTTGCCTCGACGTCGACGCCCCAATCCTCCACTCATGCTACTCACTCGCGCAATATTGATTCTACTCACCAACCAGTCGGGTCGTTCGTTTCGCCTCAACCGGGGACACTACATCGCGCTGTTTTGTCCTCGTCTACTCGTCCTATGGAACCTCCTGAAATATTACATCTAGTCCTGATATAATGGTTTCGTCGCCGGAAAAGAAGGTATCAAAAGATTTGAATCCCCCCTCTCATTCAGCGTCATCAGATCTGCCTTCCTCCTACCCTTCACTTTCACTACCTGCTGAACCAGTGGTTGACGATGCAGAGTCGGTCAGGATGTCTCACCGTAGCAAAAGCCAACTCAGTTTTTCGGCGATCCGCTGCGGCATTCGGTAAAATTTGTAGAGGAGGATCAAATTTTGCCCTCTACAACGACATTGGCTTCACCTCTTATACCAGTCACGGAGGAACAGATTATGCCCTCAGATGCGCCAACTGTGTCCATATCTTCACCACGGAAACAACTTATTCGCGATCGTTTTCCGCCTCAATCTTCAACTCAGACGTCGTCTTCGTTCACTCACAGGAAGGAAACCACGGGCACGGATTGACTATATTCGCCAAGAAAGAAAGAAAAAAAAATGAAAAAAAAAACTCTTAAAAAACTTGCTCAATCGTTCAAACTTTAGCTAAAACTTTTTCACGATATCATTGTGGTTTACTGTACGCAATTGTGTGGGATAAGGGGCTATCAAATCATTTGCTCGTCCGGGTGCAGTTTATTTGTCCTTAATTTTGAAGCTTTTCAAAATTTTTCCCCGCGGGGAATGTCGTGAGGCGACCTTCGGTACCTCGTAAGTTATTTGTTCTTTTGCAGTCATACTGCAAAAGACACTAATTATATTAACCAAGGTCACTGTTAACCTCTATTGTCAATACCACGCTGAGCGTGTTTTTCATTCTATATCTGTTATCACTACTGTTTGTTAGTAAATCTGATTCATCATATTCTCATGTTCTATCGGGATAAAATTCCTAAACCAAGACTATATCTGAAACTAAGCATCAAACTAACTCAAACTAACAAAGTATCTAACCTTAAAACAATTTACTTATTGTTCAGCAACCAAGTTTTCATTCTAAAACTCCGGCAAATCTCAACCGTTAAACTGGTTGTTTTTATGTGTGGCAATTCTTCACTGGTACTATATGGGAAGGTTGGAAGGGAGAAAACTAGCAAGATCCCGTTTTCGAAGCTAGTGCTTTAATTAGATCCAAATTCATGTCTAGCACAAGCATCTATTTTATCGCTTTTGACCCAGATTGCTTAGCCAAGGTTCGCATATGAAACCTTTTTTGTTTTTAATTTTGAATAAAATTTTTTCTAATCATTAAGATTACATTGCTCCCTAACTACACTTTTATGAACCTAAAAAAACAGGCAAAACCATAAATCGCTGTTGATAATTTTACGAAGTTTAGTCCAACTTTCTTGAGTATCACATACAAGCAAATGTTGATTTTATTGTGCAGTGAGGACCCCAATAGAATCATCCACTACGGAGGGGGCAAACTGATAGCACTGGCCAGTGACAAGAAGCTGCAGATTGTGAGTGTGGAGACAGGACACCCGATCAACAAGCGACCAATCACAGGCCACGCTGGGTCCATTCAGTGCGCATTTGTCGACGAAGCTGAAGTGCGCAACTTAATGTTTTTTATCTGAGACAAAGATTTTTTTCAATAATTTATATTAAGCAGAAGTCAGAAGTGCCTTGTCGTAATGAGAAAAAGTTATATAGCATGGTGCGCAAAACCTTGATTTGAACTGTCTTTTTTAAATATAGATTAGGTTTTTTGTAGTCGCAGTTTTAGTTATGGTTTTATTTTACTTTGAGCTCTAAAACTTGGATAGTTTTACCGAGCAGCATTGGTTTTGATAGCAAGAGGAAATGATGGTAATACGAGCTGTTCAGCTCTTCACAGAGAACAACTGTTGTGCCCCTGCTTAAGAACAAAAAGCAATTTTTGGTGATTTTCCCGGCTGAGAATTGCTGCCTCAGCCGAAGGCAGCGAGTACGAATCATGATTTTCTTCAAACCAGCGAGTTAAAGGCAGAAACTTTAGCCGATTCCAGAACAAAAAATTGTTGCTTGATAGTGCATAGATCCCAATCACTGGGATCTTTTTCAGAATGAGGATATGACTGGCTTCTGTGTGTTTAGGGCTACGTATTGACTGGGAGTTACGACACAAGCGTGAGAATGTGGGACTTAGAGAGTGGGGCTTGTAGGAGGATATTCAGGGGACACACGGACTCTGTCTACGCCCTCACCAAGTACCTGGACACCATGGTCACTGGATCCAAAGACACCACCGTAAAAGGTTTACAACATACCATCATTTCAAGTACCTAGATACAGTGGTAACCGATTTAGATATACTGCCCTCAAAGGGATTCCTTCAATTCACTATCAAATGCTTCTCATCAAGTACATATAGACAACATGGTCACCGGATCTAAGGAAGGACACCAGCTTAAAATTCATACAACCTACGGACAATCAAATTATCCCATTCAAGTTTCAAATACCTAGATACCATGAGCACCTGATTCATAGACACTCACTGGTAAAAAGTGTCCATTCGGTGGAAAATTAACTGAAGTGATGGACAAAATTATGGCGTAGGGTATGTTTCTTCTCTCGATTTTGACTAATCCAAAGTAAGTGGTAGAGTGTCAAGGTGGTACCATAATAAAGCTCTATCAGTTTCTATTCGGATTCCTAAAGAGTGGGGCTTAAAATTCATACAACCTACGGACAATCAAATTATCCCATTCAAGTTTCAAATACCTAGATACCATGAGCACCTGATTCATAGACACTCACAGGTAAAAAGTGTCCATTCGGTGGAAAATTAACTGAAGTGATGGAAAAATTATGGCGTAGGGTATGTTTTTTCTCTCGATTTTGACTAATCCAAAGTAAGTGGTAGAGTGTCAAGGTGGTACCATATTAAAGCTCTATCAGTTTCTATTCGGATTCTTAAAGAGTGAGGCTTAAAAATCATACAACCCACGGACAATCAAATTATCCCATTCAAGTTTCAAATACCTAGATACCATGAGCACCTGATTCATAGACACTCACAGGTAAAAAGTGTCCATTCGGTGGAAAATTAACTGAAAAGATGGGAAAAGTTATGGCGTAGGGTATGTTTTTTCTCTCGATTTTGACTAATCCAAAGTAAGTGGTAGAGTGTCAAGGTGGTACCATATTAAAGCTCTATCAGTTTCTATTCGGATTCTTAAAGAGTGGGGCTTAAAAATCATACAACCCACGGACAATCAAAATACCCCATTCAAGTTTCAAATACCTAGATACCATGAGCACCTAATTCATAGACACTCACAGGTAAAAAGTTTCCATTCGGTGGAAAATTAACTGAAGTGATGGGAAAAATTATGGCGTAGGGTATGTTTTTTCTCTCGATTTTGACTAATCCAAAGTAAATGGTAGAGTGTCAAGGTGGTGCCATATTAAAGCTCTATCAGTTTTTATTCGGATTCTTAAAGAGTGGGGCTTAAAATTCATACAACATATGGACAATCAAATTATCCCATTCAGGTTTTAAAAACCTAGATACCATGAGCACCTGATTCATAGACACTCACAGGTAAAAAGTTTCCATTCGGTGGAAAATTAACTGAAAAGATGGGAAAAGTTATGGCGTAGGGTATGTTTTTTCTCTCGATTTTGACTAATCCAAAGTAAGTGGTAGAGTGTCAAGGTGGTGCCATATTAAAGCTCTATCAGTTTCTATTCGGATTCTTAAAGAGTGGGGCTTAAAATTCATACAATATACGGACAATCAAATTATCCCATTCAAGTTTCAAAAACCTAGATACCATGAGCACCTGATTCATAGACACTCACAGGTAAAAAGTGTCCATTCGGTGGAAAATTAACTGAAAAGATGGGAAAAGTTATGGCGTAGGGTATGTTTTTTCTCTCGATTTTGACTAATCCAAAGTAAGTGGTAGAGTGTCAAGGTGGTGCCATATTAAAGCTCTATCAGTTTCTATTCGGATTCTTAAAGAGTGAGGCTTAAAATTCATACAACCCACGGACAATCAAATTATCCCATTCAAGTTTCAAATACCTAGATACCATGAGCACCTGATTCATAGACACTCACAGGTAAAAAGTGTCCATTCGGTGGAAAATTAACTGAAAAGATGGGAAAAGTTATGGCGTAGGGTATGTTTTTTCTCTCGATTTTGACTAATCCAAAGTAAGTGGTAGAGTGTCAAGGTGGTACCATATTAAAGCTCTATCAGTTTCTATTCGGATTCTTAAAGAGTGGGGCTTAAAAATCATACAACCCACGGACAATCAAAATACCCCATTCAAGTTTCAAATACCTAGATACCATGAGCACCTAATTCATAGACACTCACAGGTAAAAAGTTTCCATTCGGTGGAAAATTAACTGAAGTGATGGGAAAAATTATGGCGTAGGGTATGTTTTTTCTCTCGATTTTGACTAATCCAAAGTAAATGGTAGAGTGTCAAGGTGGTGCCATATTAAAGCTCTATCAGTTTTTATTCGGATTCTTAAAGAGTGGGGCTTAAAAATCTTACAACCCACGGACAATCAAAATACCCCATTCAAGTTTCAAATACCTAGATACCATGAGCACCTAATTCATAGACACTCACAGGTAAAAAGTTTCCATTCGGTGGAAAATTAACTGAAGTGATGGGAAAAATTATGGCGTAGGGTATGTTTTTTCTCTCGATTTTGACTAATCCAAAGTAAATGGTAGAGTGTCAAGGTGGTGCCATATTAAAGCTCTATCAGTTTCTATTCGGATTCTTAAAGAGTGGGGCTTAAAATTCATACAACATATGGACAATCAAATTATCCCATTCAGGTTTTAAAAACCTAGATACCATGAGCACCTGATTCATAGACACTCACAGGTAAAAAGTGTCCATTCGGTGGAAAATTAACTGAAAAGATGGGAAAAGTTATGGCGTAGGGTATAGTTTTCTCTCGATTTTGACTAATCCAAAGTAAGTGGTAGAGTGTCAAGGTGGTGCCATATTAAAGCTCTATCAGTTTCTATTCGGATTCTTAAAGAGTGGGGCTTAAAATTCATACAATATACGGACAATCAAATTATCCCATTCAAGTTTTAAAAACCTAGATACCATGAGCACCTGATTCATAGACACTCACAGGTAAAAAGTGTCCATTCGGTGGAAAATTAACTGAAAAGATGGGAAACGTTATGGCGTAGGGTATGTTTTTTCTCTCGATTTTGACTAATCCAAAGTAAGTGGTAGAGTGTCAAGGTGGTACCATATTAAAGCTCTATCAGTTTTTATTCGGATTCTTAAAGAGTGGGGCTTAAAATTCATAAAACCCGAGGACAATCAAATATTCCCATTCAAGTTTCAAAACCTAGATACCATGAGCACCTGATTCATAGACACTCACAGGTAAAAAGTGTCCATTCGGTGGAAAATTAACTGAAGTGATGGGAAAAATAATGGCTTATGGTATGTTTTTTCACTCGATTTTGACTAATCCAAAGTAAGTGGTAGAGTGTCAAGGTGGTACCATATTAAAACTCTATCAGTTTCTATTCGGATTCTTAAAGAGTGGGGCTTAAAATTCATACAACCTACGGACAATCAAATTATCCCATTCAAGTTTCAAAAACCTAGATACCATGAGCACCTGATTCATAGACACTCACAGGTAAAAAGTGTCCATTCGGTGGAAAATTAACTGAAAAGATGGGAAAAGTTATGGCGTAGGGTATGTTTTTTCTCTCGATTTTGACTAATCCAAAGTAAGTGGTAGAGTGTCAAGGTGGTACCATATTAAAGCTCTATCAGTTTCTATTCGGATTCTCAAAGAGTGGGGCTTAAAATTCATAAAACCCAAGGACAATCAAATATTCCCATTCAAGTTTCAAAACCTAGATACCATGAGCACCTGATTCATAGACACTCACAGGTAAAAAGTGTCCATTCGGTGGAAAATTAACTGAAAAGATGGGAAACGTTATGGCGTAGGGTATGTTTTTTCTCTCGATTTTGACTAATCCAAAGTAAGTGGTAGAGTGTCAAGGTGGTACCATATTAAAGCTCTATCAGTTTTTATTCGGATTCTTAAAGAGTGGGGCTTAAAATTCATAAAACCCGAGGACAATCAAATATTCCCATTCAAGTTTCAAAACCTAGATACCATGAGCACCTGATTCATAGACACTCACAGGTAAAAAGTGTCCATTCGGTGGAAAATTAACTGAAGTGATGGGAAAAATAATGGCTTATGGTATGTTTTTTCACTCGATTTTGACTAATCCAAAGTAAGTGGTAGAGTGTCAAGGTGGTACCATATTAAAACTCTATCAGTTTCTATTCGGATTCTTAAAGAGTGGGGCTTAAAATTCATACAACCTACGGACAATCAAATTATCCCATTCAAGTTTCAAAAACCTAGATACCATGAGCACCTGATTCATAGACACTCACAGGTAAAAAGTGTCCATTCGGTGGAAAATTAACTGAAAAGATGGGAAAAGTTATGGCGTAGGGTATGTTTTTTCTCTCGATTTTGACTAATCCAAAGTAAGTGGTAGAGTGTCAAGGTGGTACCATATTAAAGCTCTATCAGTTTCTATTCGGATTCTCAAAGAGTGGGGCTTAAAATTCATAAAACCCAAGGACAATCAAATATTCCCATTCAAGTTTCAAAACCTAGATACCATGAGCACCTGATTCATAGACACTCACAGGTAAAAAGTGTCCATTCGGTGGAAAATTAACTGAAAAGATGGGAAAAGTTATGGCGTAGGGTATGTTTTTTCACTCGATTTTGACTAATCCAAAGTAAGTGGTAGAGTGTCAAGGTGGTACCATATTAAAGCTCTATCAGTTTCTATTCGGATTCTTAAAGAGTGGGGCTTAAAATTCATACAACCTACGGACAATCAAATTATCCCATTCAAGTTTCAAATACCTAGATACCATGAGCACCTGATTCATAGACACTCACAGGTAAAAAGTGTCCATTCGGTGGAAAATTAACTGAAGTGATGGGAAAAATTATGGCTTAAGGTATGTTTTTTCACTCGATTTTGACTAATCCAAAGTCAGTGGTAGAGTGTCAAGGTGGTACCATATTCAAGCTCTATCAGTTTCTATTCGGATTCTTAAAGAGTGGGGCTTAAAATTCAAACAACGTACGGACAATCAAATTATCCCATTCAAGTTTCAAATACCTAGATACCATGAGCACCTGATTCATAGACACTCACAGGTAAAAAGTGTCCATTCGGTGGAAAATTAACTGAAAAGATGGGA